CCATCTTCTTCCATTTTATATGTGGGACACCTGCCATGAATGGCTTGATAAGCGGTGTATAGATCGGCACCCAGAATCCAAACCAGTGAACCCCAAGCCACCAAAGAGGAGCACACAAGCTTAAGTGTTACACCACCAAGCTGACCCCCAGGACCCTTTGCACACTTTTTAATCAGGCTATTTGTGTTTTTGATCTTTGTAATCTTGAAGTAGCAAAAGATTCCTTAAACAGGACTCAAAAAGTGCAAACTATAAAGGAAATTTTTCAAAAATTGGACTACCACGAAATTAATAACTTTTCTCCATCACAAGACATTAGTAAGAGAGTAAAAAGACAATCTATGGAGTGGGAGAATATATTTACAATGCATGTATCTGACAAAACACTAGTATTCTAAATATATAAAGAACTCCAGCATATCAATAAGAAAAAAGCCAGACAACTCAATGGAAAAATGAACAAAAGACCTGAATAGACATTTTACAAAAGAGGATATCAAAATAGCCAGTAAATTTATAAAAATGTGCTGAGCTTCACTAGTTGTCAGGGAAATGCAAATAAAACCACAATGAGATGCCACTACACACCCATCAGAATGACTAAGATGATAGCACAGATGTAAAGCAGCTGGAACTTTCATATACTGCTGGTGAGAGTATAAATTGGTATAACTTTGGACACCATTTATCTACTAAAACTGAACATATGCGCATTCTGTGAGCCAGCAGTTCCACCTCTGGGTATAAACCCAAGAGAAATGTAAATGTACGTTTACCAAAACACAGTTACTAGAATGTTCAGAGCAGCATGATTGGTAATAAACCAAATTTCCAAAACCTGGAAATTACATGTGCTGGTTTCCAGTTATTGTTACTCAGTTCTGAAACCACCATTCCGTCCTCTGCTTTGTAATGGTGAAACTTGAATTCTGCAAACCACATTTCTACTTCGCCAGATAAATCTACATTAGGTTCCACCAACAGGAGTGCGAAAGAGAGCCTGGAGGGCTGGAAGAGGGAGAAAAAACTGGATCCTTTCCGGCTCTGCTCCCTGTTTCTCTCAGCATCACTTCAATAGCAATTCCTCACTCTGGCATTAGTCATTTTTGCATTTTTCAATTTTTTCCACATTCCAAGAACCAGCCTCCCCATTCCCCTCAGAGACATTAGCACCATCCAGGCCCCTCAAGGAACCCCTCGTCCAAGGTCCTGAGGCACCAGCGCCAGCTGAGCAGCAATCCCTCTCCGGATGTCTTGATGCCAGCTCTGCAGAACTTCTTCAAACTTCTAGGTTTGAATGTTAACCTCTTCCTTTTGTCCACGAGCCTTACAGGTGCTTCCTGCTGTTGTTATCTTTGTGTCATCTTAATGTATCTTTTTGTCTTTTCAGTCCTTCAGTACCTACTTAGCCAATTCTTTATACTAAATTCTCTCTTTTGAAATAACCGGTATGTTGATAGCCCATCAACAGTAGAATGGATAAAGTATAATAGATTCTCAACATGGAATACTATACAAAAATAAGAATAAATGATCTCTTACTATATCTAGTGATACAGATGAATCTCATAAAAAATAGTGAGTGAAAGAAGCCAAACACAAAAACAGTGTTTAATGTGATTCTATTATTATAAAAACAGATAAAACTAATGTATGATGTTCAGAAGTGGAGAGAGTAGTTGCACTTGGCAGGATGGTGAGGGTGTTGGTTGGCGGCTTTGGGGCACAAGAAGAGCTTCCGCAATGCTGGTAACGTTCTGTGTCTTGATCTGGGTTTCATGACACAGCAGTGCTCAGTTTGTGAAGATTCATTGAGTTTTACAATTATAATATGATCACTTTTCTGTAGGTTAATCGTAAGTCCATAAAATAGTTAAACAATAATGTAGCTATCAGTTGTAAGCTTTTGCAGTCCAATTGGACATTGCCTGTAGTGTTCTTTGTTTATGTCATAAAAATATTTTTCTATATTCAAAAAAGTGGTGGAATCATGAGTAATTCATATTTTTAAAATAAGAATAGTACACAAAAATAGGCACAGTTCTTTTTCTTAACAGTCTGTTTATGTAAAGCATCACACTTATTTTTGTACTCTTGTCTCGTTTCTCTTATAAACTGTAGTGTACTGACTAAAACATTAGTCACACCTTTACAGCACTCAAGCTAGTTTTATCACCGTGGTTTTATAAGGATATGAGAAAACTGGAGGTGATCTAAGCAGTGAATCATAAATTTATTCTTGAAAACCGGTTCATGCTTTAAATCTTGGTTTCTATCTTCCCTTTTAGGGTGTAGGCCCTAATATCTGCTGAAAACCTACAATTGCTTTTTCTCTGCTTTAGTTCTAGCTTTTTATATTCGTTTCTCATACTCCACCTGCTTGACATTACTTATTACATCTTCAGTCTCCCTGAGGCACTCCTGGGCCGGACTGTTTATCTTCAGTAGCAATGCCTCTGGATACCATGATCTGATGGCACACCAGACTTTCCTACAACATACCCCAAAGGGTCATCCACTCAATATCTTCCTCACCCCCATATCCAGGTCCTGCCCCTGGCCTTCCAGGTCCTGCCCTCTCATGAGATAAGATTCATTTGAAAATAGAATTTTCACATCTGAACACATCTGTAAAATGAGAACCCAGATCAAGACACAGAATACTACCAGCATGCCTCATGGGGTAGTCAGATGAGAATATGTTACAATCATTTATTCATTCAATCAATATGTATAGTATCTCTACAATGCCAGTCACACTTCCAGGTGCTGCTGCTACCCTAGAAAATCATGGCGCCAAATTTTTAGTCCTTGCTCTGCCGCGTTCTAGCTGTGCGATCTTAAATGCACCATTTAATTTCTCTGAGCCTCAAGTTCTTTGTAAAAGTGTATTAAAACATTTCTAAGTTTTCATAGTTATCTAAGGAAAATCAAATAAGTCTTACTGAGAAAACATGGATTGAGGGGGGAAGGCATAGACTTTCAGTTAAGCATAGTTAATTGAGCATGTTTTTATTCCTTCTCTTTTCGTAAATCCCACAAAAATGAAAAAAAGAGAAGAATTAAAAGGACATATACTATAAGGAAAAAAAAGAATGGACAACAGCAGAGAAATATTTCAACAGATTCAGTAGAAAAGAGACAGAGCAGGGATAACTTAGCAGTGTGGCCTAAGTGTCTGCAGAGGTAGAGCCATAAACCAGCCAATTTGTTGGCTAGAGGCTCAGGGCCAGGCTACGCAAGTTCCCGTGGAATATGGGATGGGGGTGAGGCTCAAGCTAAAACCAAGGTCTAGTTGAAAGTATGTTTGTATACGAAGCAGTTGGAAGTCTAGGTCCCACCTCACCAGGTGAGGACTAGAAATTGACTCAGAGATGCACTGGACTCATGAAACCAAAGAACAGTGTGGGGGATGGAAGGCTGAAAATAGGAGAGAGGATTACATGAAAATCTGAATAGTGAAAGCTGAGAAATTTTCCACCCTACTATCTACCCTACTTTCAGAACAACAGCAGTCAGACATACATGCCAACTTGTTTACATTTACCCCTCCCTCTCCAATTCCCTTTGCATTTAAATATGCTCAAAAAGTTGTTGACAGCCATGTCACAGAGATGTCATAATATTTGCAAAAATTAGCAAGAAGATCTTAGTAAACCTGGCAAATGAAAAGATGAATTATTAACTGCAGGAAAAAGTATTATATGAGAACAGTGTGATGTAGTACACAGCACGACTTAATAGTGCATAACATTTGCACAGTCATAAAGTAAACACTGAGTATTGATTTAGCCCAAATGTATTGTGTTACTACGTTGGGGGATGAGGGAAAGAGAGTGGTGGGACATGGGAGTGTGCTAGGTATAATTGTTCAGTCTTTAACATACATTCTCACCTTTTCAATGTACCCCCTTAATCACAGAGGCTGGGAAGCTAAAAATGGTCACATTTCCCAAATGATCTTGACGCCACAGTTCTGCATACAATTTAAATTCTGTCATACGACGCACTCGCTTGAGATTTGGAAGGCAGAAGTGAGGCAAAGGCCATTTCCTAGTGGCTGTGGCTACTGGTAAACGAGGTTGGTCAGACAAAAGTGTTTGCAGAGGACTACCTTCACATTCCAGGGTCTATTCTGGACTCCATGGGTGTGTCCCACGCTCTCCGGGTATGCCATTGAATCCAATAGTCCTGTGATGGCCTTTGCCTCCCACTCTACTGTTGCCTGCCCCACCCCCCGCTCACACTTTGGTAATCACCTGACTCCCTGCCCTCAACCCCTAGAACGATTGCAGCTTCCTGAACTGAACACTGACTGATACCGAGAGAAAACTAAGTCCCTAAAGACAAACTGAGAAGCAGCACTATGAGCACATTATTTAGAAATCCAGCATTTCTTATCAGGGAAGGCAGCTAGCAGAGTGGGGCTGAGTAGCCTTGGAGAGCAGGCCTGGGGATTCATAGAAGTGAATAGAATTTATAAATTATAAAAATCCTAAAAGCATAAGTGGGATCTGGCCTCATTCATCTAGTACTGTTGTCCTAATGATGCGGGCTCGGCAAGCTGAGGAGTCGGAAGGAAGATTTCTTGGACTCTCAAGGTCTGGCAGTAGCGCTCCTTTATTCAGAGAATAGCATGGAGTAGCATGGGGACAGGACCCACGGGCAGTGAAGGGCTGCAGTGTGTTGAGGGTTAGGGCTAAATTTATAAGGCATAGGTATGTGAGTTATTTCTTTACAAGACAAAGGAAGGATCATGAAAAAAATCGTTAAAATGGTATCAGTGCAGGTGGGGTGTGGTTATTGGGTGGTCCGATAACTTTAGATAAGAATGAGGTCAGATTAAGTCAGGACGTCCTATGCTTCCCCGAGGATGATATAGATCAGTGTGTAGGGCAGGACGCCTTGGCCTTCTCCCTGGGGCAGCCTTGATCCTCATTACTAAGATTAAAGATAATATTATGGTAGAGCATTTTAAACAGTTACACACAAGCCAATTCTCTTCAAAAGTTTTTCTCGTGTCAAGTTTATAGTATTCGTGCAGCCAAAGGTAGAAGCATATCCACACCTTTCACAACATGGCTCACCACACATCTCTTCATTGACTTCTGCAAACAAAAGAAATAATATGTTACAGTATGTGTTAATATCAACAGACTGGTTTGATGCTTTCTTTTTAACCCATATACAAGGAGTCTTATTTGCCCCCAAATCTCTAAGAATTTTCATAAAGCTTGATTTCAGTGATCATTTTTGGTTCTGTTTCTACTGAATTATCATTTCGCATTTGCTAACTCTTGTCAGCCAGGATGGATTCACACAAGGATCTCAGCTACTTTTTTTGCTTTTCTCCGTCCCACTGCTTCAATCCGCCCATAAAAAACACTTACACTCATACTTTCACACACGCTTTTGAGAGGAGCTGACTTTGCTGAAGTTTTGGGAAGATAGAGGGAATTTACTCTGGGGAAATTTTCATTTTCAGAACAGAGCCGAAACTTTCCCCATTTTGGGTCCCAAGGTAGGTTGTAGGGAGAGAAGTTTTAACTTAAATAGCATATAGAATGAGTTTCTGATTATCAGAACAATAAAATAATGAAAAGAATTCCCAAAAAATTACAATGTGCCATATTTGAAAATATGATGAAAAGGTAAATAGTAATCTCTTCTGGATGGTTTATATTAGGTTTTGAATATATTTTTGCCGTTGTGTGGTAAATCTTCATTCCTTTCCTCCCACAGGAGTATACAGAATAAGATGTTGACGAAAATAATCCATAACCAATCTATAAATGAAAATTTGGGAGAGTTTATTCTGAGCTGTAATCTGAGGACCATGGCCGGGGGCCTTTCTTCCCAAAGGAAGAAAGGGCACCAAAGAGGTGAGATATACAGAGTGGTTATATACCCCCATACAGGACATTTCACATATGATTGAAATGTCCCTCCCACAATAGTCACAAGATTGCCCTGTCAGCACAGCACTTGATGGACACAGCAGGTAGTGGGTCTGCTGTCTCGGAGGGCGTAGCAGGAGGCAAGTCTATTGTCTGGAGCAGAGTGGTCACAGGTGAGTGCAGCAATCAGTTCCTAGCCTAAGGAAAGATGCTTAATCCTTAAAGAAATGCCAATGTTGGGAGGGGGAGGGAAGTTGCACCTTTATCTCAAGGGCCTTTGCTCTTGCCATAGGGAATATCTAAAGCAGATATACAATGCGTGCTCAACGGCCTTGGTCAGGCCCTTTCGGAAAGACAAGGTCAGGCCGAATTAGGTTTATACTAAATGGCTTCCTCATATACTCCAATATATGCTATTGCTTGCCATTTTTATTTGTCAAAGATTAGGTAAAGAAATCCAAATTTATCCTTGAAATTAAATTCCTTACTCTGTGTGTGGGTGTGTTTCATGTGTTTTTATTTAATCATGTCTTTTTTGCTGCTTTGGCAAACATTTCATTGGCAATATCTCTCGATTTTCTTTGTGATATTTTGATTTCCACATAAACAGCCATTGGGTTATAACATAACTTGAAAACAATTTTATTCAGTAAGCTGGTTTCTGGAACTGCAGAGAAGTACATATCTTTTCCTTCAGAAATGCGGACGTATTTAATGTTTCTGGACCCACTCCCTGATGAGGATTTTAGGCTGGTTAATTTTAAAACTGCAGATGAGAAGCAGGCTCCGAGGAGCAGAGTTTGCTTGCCCTTTGAGAGACATTTGCATTTGTGAAGGAACTCTCCATGCCTCCCTCTCTGCACCAGGAGGAAGAGGGGATGGCCTTATCTCTGGAAACTCTTAATGGGGAAGGCAAGGACTTAAGTTGGTTACTGTCTGGCAACCTCATGTAACTCATTTAGGGTGGTGGCTTCTGGCCTTTACTTAATCTGATTTGATTCTTATCTAAAAATTGTGGGACCACCCAATGGCCAGACCCCACCTGCACTGATACCATTTTAACTTTTTTACATGTTCCTTCCTGTGTCTTGTAAAGAGATGGCTCACATACCTATGCCTTAAATTTAGCCTTACTCTCCACCCATGTTTGCAGCAGAAGCAGTGGCAGCAGCACCTCCTCCTGCCTGTGGGCCCTGTCCCCACGCAGCAGCCTGACTGCCCATGGCTCCTGTCCCCAGGCTATTCCACACTATTCTCTAAATAAAAGAGCACTACCGCCAGATCTTGAGAGTCCAAGAAATCTTTCTTTCAACTCCTTGGCTCACTGACCCCGCATCACTCCGCATATTAAAGACGGAAGCCAGCAGATGAAAGAAGCTGAAAACTGAAAGGTTAAATCCCCTGAATACTTACTACTTTCATTTATTAATGAGAAGTTAGGTGAATTTGTGACTTTAAGGCTTTTTAAAACATCTTAATTGAATTATAATTTATATATCACAAAATTCACCATTGTAAGTGTACAAGGATTGTTAGTAAATTTATAGAGCGTTCAGCAACCACCACAATCCAATTTTAAAACATTTCCATCGCCCCAAAAACTTCCCTGGTGCCTGTTTGCAGTGACTCCCCTTCCTCCTCTCAGCCCTAGGAAACGCGGATTTACTGTTTGTCTTTGTAGATGTATCTTTTCTTAAGATTTCTTATAAATGAAACGGCATGTAGTCTTTTCATTTGACATCTTTCACCTAACATAATGTTTTAAGGTTTATCCATAACATAGAATGTATCAATAGCTATTCCTTTTTATCACTGAATAACATTCCTCTGTATAGATACATATACCACATTTTGTTTATCCATTCATCAGTTGATGGACTTCTGGGTTGTTTCCACTTTTTTGGCTATTATAAATAATGCTGCTATAAACACTCAAGTGCACATTTTTCTGAGGATACAAGTTTCCAATTCTCTAATTGTTGGGTCATTTGGTAATTCTTTGTTTAACTTATTGAGGAATTGCCCAACTGTTTCCAAAGCAGCTGCACCATTTTTGCATTCCCCCCAGCCATGCATGAGAGTTCAGAATTCCACATATCCTCACAAAAACTTGTTAGCCTTTTTTACTACAGCTATTTTAGTGGGTATGTAGTACATTTTCATTCTTTGTAGAACTTCTTATTTATATATTTTTATAATCTGTGTACTTAGATTTTTAAAAACTCACCTTCCTTTCATTCTTAAGTGAAGGATCAGTGACTTCTTTCTTGGTAATCTGCAAATTCCTCCAAAGCAGTTGCCTTTTTTTTTAAAAAAAAAAAAAAAGGAGCTTCTTTTCAAGACTCCTTATTACCAGTCCAATCATCCAATCATGGATTTTCAGTAGTGTACTTGAGCTAGCTCATTCTGGCTCTCTAGAGTCAATAGCTAAATATTTAGAAATTTTGTGAGCTGGTGGTTAAAGCATTAGTATCTTGACATAGTCTGAGGGCAAGAATTTACACTGTGGAAATTGGAAATGCTACAAATCAGCATCTCTAACCTGTGGCCCCTGCAAGCTGGTTAGCTGTAAACCACTAGTCTTATATCAAAATATATTCTTACAAAAGGTTCTTGTGTTATAGTTCATCCTCTAGGGAGTAAACTTTAATTCTGGTTTGCAAATTCAGTCTGCATTATTACCCAGAAGCTCTAAAGTTTGTGTTTGAGGATTTAAAAGAATAAAATTATTAGAAGATTCAGTATCTTCTTCACCTAATATTGGGTCCATTACATTTTTTTTTTCCATTTCACAACCTGAAAGTCCTAAGAAAATAAAAAGACAAGATACAGATATGAGAACATATTTGCAAATAATACATCTGGTAAAGTATTTGCATTCAGACTATATAAAGAATGCTTATAACTCAATAATCGTAAGACAAACTACCCAATTAAAAAGTGGGCAGAAGATATGAATAGACATTTCCCAAAGAAGACATATGAATGGCTAATCGGCTCCTGAAGAGATGTGCAACATCATTGTCATTAAGGAAACACAACATAAAACCACAATGAGATATCAGCTCTGGGGAATTCATTCTATGTGGTTTGGGTGGTGCTGACCCTTTTCATCTCCATACAGCTGCAAACACACAACTCTGGCTGTCAAATTAGTGTCCTTCACCTCCCCGTCCCCTGAGATTGGTTCAGGAAAGGCAGATGAGCCCATCCAGAGGCCTCCCTGGAACCTTCGCTAGAAGGAGCAAGAAAGACAGATATTCTTTTTGCTGGGGTCACTAGGCATGAGGACAATGGAAGCCTGGAGCTGTAGTTTTCTCAAATGGTGAACCACTCTTCTCCCACTGTTCAGTCACAGGATTTGGGAGAGATTAACAAAATCAATTATCCCACCTCTCTTTCTACAGTGCAAGGCATTCCCCTTAGCTACATTGCTGGGCTAGAAGTGATCCGGTCAAGGCAAAGGTCAGGACATTCAGTTAGTGGTTATGAAAACTAGATGCTCTCTTTCCCAGGAAGTGACCCAGTGGCCTCCAGAAGTCATGAGAAAATTCAGCCTGAGGATAAACCTAACACAAGGAGGACAGCAAAGCCTGGAGAATCTCAGAGAAAGATCCAGAGCCCCGCTGAAGCCATTCTTGTAGATGGTGTGTGAACAAATAAACCTTGTTTTTAGCCAGTTTAAATTCAATTTTCTGTTACTTGCAACAAAATCTTCCTATCTAGTTAAATATCTTTCTGCCCTGGGTTGTTTTGTTTTTTTAACTTTTCTGTATCATTTGACGCTGACAATCACTTTTTGGAATTTTGTCCTCCTGGGCTTCACCCCTTCACTCCTCTTCTGCTCTTTAAAGGCATCCAGCATATCTTGGAAACAAGCATGGAAAGACAAGAATAGCACAGCATATTGCTGTTGATGCGAGTCATCTCTCCTTTTTCACCTACAACCTCTTTCCACGCAGGGCTACATGACCAGCTTTGGCCTGCATCCTCACTCTAACCTTGCTCTCCATCAGAACACTGCTTCTGCTCATTACCCACTGACTCCCTGTGGAGAACTCTGGTCCCTTGGGTAAGAAACATCCTGCCTTGGAGCCCAGTCCAGGCTCTACGACTTGTCCAAGCTGAGCCCATAGGACATGCCTGTTAAGAGAGGGAATCAAATACCTGTGTCAGCACTTTCTACTGGCTCCCTTTCTGCCTTTTTAACAACTCCATTTCAATTCTTTTGAATAGCTCTACTGGCCATGGCTACTCCCTAAACATTAGTATTTCCCCAGGTTCAGGTGCCATAAGGTAATCTCAATTTTTATAGTTAAATAAAACTAAATCCACAGAAATTGAGTGATCTGTCCAAATCCATTGTGACAAAATCAGGCTTGGAATTCAACTTTCTAAAGCCTAGGAGAGATTTGGTTTACTATCTACAGTAGATAGAACAGTCCTGTAATAGCCTTCATTGGACAAACTCCATGGAACGTTTTATATTTGATTCTAGAGGTGGCATTTTAAGCAGAATATTGATATATAAGTCATTCTAAGAGGGAAGGAGTCAAAAGACATCATCAGGTGAGGAAATTAAAGGGACTAAGAATGTCCTTTCTTGGCAAGAAAATTCTTAGGAGAGAGCAGACCACTGCCTCAAATATCTAAACATCTGGGCTATGTAAAGGAAATCAGGTTGATTTCATGCTCCTCATGAGCAGCATTAGGAACAATGAGCAAAAGGTAAAAGGTACAATTAAGTCAACTTGAGTTAACTGCATAATAAGAGAAAATTCTAATCATAGGATTGTTCCCAAATGTTGTCACCTTGTGAGGTGGTCTCTCATCAATAGAAAATCGCAGGCAGAAGTTAGATGCCAATCTCTCAGGGATGTTGGAGACACAGACTCCTGATTGGAACTGATCAATTGTTTTCAGGAATCTAGATCCTTTTAAACTCTAGAGTGTGTCTCAAGTGAAATACAGTAAGTAAAATTTTAATTGGTGCTTCTCAAACTTCAATGTGCATAAAAATCTCCTGGCGAGCTAGTTAAAACACAGATTCAGGTCCCCGCCCCCTTGAGATTCGGATTCAGCGAGTCTGAAGTGGGGCCCAAGAATTTGCTTTTATAATAAGCTCCCAAATGACGATGGGTCTGCTGGTCCAAGGACCATGCTTTGAATAGCTCTACAAATCATAATTATTTATTAGATATTTGCGAAGAGATGAAACAAAATTACAAGGCTTTGGCAAGCAAAAAGGGAAATGAAAAGTAATGTGTACTTGGCATTCATATAGGAAATAAAACACTGTAATGACTACTTCAAAGGAAAGAATCCTTCCAAAACATAGGCCATATCTACCCAACAGTTTAAAAACATTTGGAGAGGAAATTAATTGGTACATATGGCTGTGGGTGTTCCTTTCTAACCATACTAAACCTTCCATCAAAGCCTTTCTTTTAAACACTTGGTTGAGTAATTCCAACGAGACGATGCCACTTAAAAACCTCCTATTTGGGGGTCAGGAACCCACTCTAGCCCAGGTATCTCTTCCATTTGTCTCTAACACCTTTACCAACTCCATCCAGACCTGTAGGAAAACCCAGGGTGAACTTGTCAATAGGAGTAAAGGACAGCTGTTTGGGAAAAATAATGCAATTCAGTTTGTAAATGTCTTTACTCTTGAAATGGAAATCTGAGGTAATCATCTTAAAAAATACGAGCTCCCCAATGGCAAATTCAAAGGAAATCCTTAACCATCCTTCAAAGTTCCTCTCAAATTGCACTCCCTCATTAAATCTTTCCTGATGCCATCAACAGACTGTGAGCTCCACATCCTTCTCTCACATTCAGATCTCTGAAGACACTGCTTACCATATTCTGACTTGCAAATGTTATTTGTCGTACTTGTGTAGGCCCAATCACACAGTGGGTTTGACAGAGGATGTGTAATATAAAGAATTATTAAATTCTTATAAACAAGTGTGTAGAAACAAGAATAAGGAAACTGCATGGTACCTAGGGCTGAGGGAGAGTAGCCAAGGAAGAACAAAGTTGGAAGGGTTTCCCTTCCCCAAGGCTGGAGTTTAGATCTCATTGGAGAAGGTATAGTTCAGCCTACTAGATAACAAAAAACGTTCACGGGTCTGACTGGGGCCACTGGGAGAGCAAGAGGCATCCCTCTAGAGTGCAGGCCAAGGATAGCTGATCAGCAACCAGAGATATGGGTGTGCACGGGAGATTGGGGCCCTGGGAGCAGGCAGGCCACAGAGGCCAGAAGAGGAAGTAATGGCTCAGTGAAAACACTCCAGGCTCCTGATAATCCATATGCGGGTCTGCAGAGGGAATTAGGACACTGACGTGGGCAGGAGGCTTTAGAGAAATGAGTTTTTATGTCAAGGAGGAGGGTGCTGTGGCAAGCTTATTGCCAGTCCACGCTGAGGCTGCAAGGTCATCTTCCCGGCATGTGGCTGAAGCACAGCTCCACCAGATGTCCTCACCTGCTCCACCAGCTGGAAATACCAGGAGGGACCCTTCTAACAGCCTCTACTGAGAAAACTTGGCATCATGCTCACTGTAAAGGGGAGGTACTTAAAAGAATTCTGTCCATTATTGAAGAGCATATATTAAAGAACAAATTTGGAGCTGAGAGGTAATAAGTTGATAATCGATACATCTGTATAATTCCAAGATTATTGGGTCTCTTAAGATTGAGGACTGGGTTTCATCTCTGTAGTCTCTGTGGTGCCTAGTTTTTATAACAAACTATGCCTTAGCAAATATTGAGAATTCCCAGTGACAAATAAAAATGGCAAGCAATAGGATATATTGGAGTATATGAGGAAGCCATTTGGTATAAACCTAATTCGGCCTGACTTTGTTTTTTCCAAAAGGGCCTGACTGTGGCCATTGAGCATGCATTGTATATCTGCTTAGACATTTTGAGATAAAGGTGCAACTTCCCTCCCCCTCCCAACGTTGGCATCTCCTTAAAGATTAAGCATCTTTCTTTAGGCTGGGAACTGATTGCAGCACTCATCTGTGACCACCTAGCTCGAGGCAACAGACCTGCCAGCCTGCAGGGTTCACTGAGACAGCAAGCCTATCTGCTGCTTCCATCAAGCGCTGTGGTGACAGAGCAGCCTTGTGACTATTGTAAAAGGGACATTTCAATCATATGTGAAACATACTCTTTGAGGGTATATAACCACCCTGTATACCCCCACTTCTTTGGAGTGCTCTGTTCCTTTGTGGAAAGACTCTCCCGGGTTATAATCCTCAAATTTAAGCTCAGAATAAACTCACTCAAATTTTCATTTATAGATTGGTTATGGATTATTTTCGTTGACACCAGCTATCTTTTTTCTTCTTTTTTTTTTTGCAGAAATTGACAAAATGATCCTAAAATTCATATGGAAATGTGAAGGATCCAGAATAGTCAAAGAACTCTTGAAAAAGAACTAAGCTGGAAGATTCACTTCCTGATTTCAAAATTTACTTCAAAGCTATAGTAATCAAGACAACATGGTAGTAGCATAAGGATAGAGATACAGACCAATGGCAAAGAATTGAAAGCCAGAAATAAACCATTAAACTTAGGTTAATTGATTTTTGACATAGGTGCCAAGATCATTCAATGGGGAAAGAACATTTCTTCAATAAATGATACTGGGACAACTGAATATCCACATACAACAGAATGAATTTGGACTCCTACCTCATATTATATGCAAAAATTCATTCTAAATGGATCATAGATTTAAATGTAAGAACTAAAACTATAAAACCCTTAGGAAAAAAGATAGGAGTAAATCTTC